CCTGCTGTCAGGGTGCCAATGCCTGAGATGATGGGGCGCCCAGGATTTCCAGGTTTATGGATCTTGGGTAGTAGATAGAATATCCCAGGTCGGAGTTCCAGGGGTGTGTCATCAGCCACACTATCAGAGGCTCGTTCACCTGCACATCCACCAATGTGATATATGCCATCATGTGCCAGCAATGCCCCTCTGCCATGTACATTGGTCAAACTGGACAGTCTCTACGTAAAAGAATAAATGGACACAAATCAGATGTCAAGAATTATAACATTCATAAACCAGTCGGAGAACACTTCAATCTCTCTGGTCACGCAATCACAGACATGAAGGTCGCTATCTTAAAACAAAAAAACTTCAAATCCAGACTCCAGCGAGAAACTGCTGAATTGGAATTCATTTGCAAATTGGATACTATTAATTTAGGCTTAAATAGAGACTGGGAGTGGCTAAGTCATTATGCAAGGTAGCCTGTTTCCTCTTGTTTTTCCTACCCCCCCCCCCCCGATGTTCTGGTTTAACTTGGATTTAAACTTGGAGAGTGGTCAGTTTAGATGAGCTATTACCAGCAGGAGAGTGAGTTTGTTTGTGTATGGGGGTGGGGGGATGTGAGAAAACCTTGATCTATGCAGGAAATAGCCCGACTTGATTATGTAAAGAGTTGTCACTTTGGATGGGCTAGCACCAGCAGGAGAGTGAATTTGTGTGGGGGGGGTGGGTGAGAGGGGGAGGGTGAGAAAACCTGGATTTGTGCTGGAAATGGCCCACCTGTTGATCATTTTAGATAAGCTATTACCAGCAGGACAGTGGGGTGGGAGGAGGTATTGTTTCATATTCTCTGTGTGTATATAAAGTCTGCTGCAGTTTCCACGGTAAACATCTGATGAAGTGAGCTGTAGCTCACGAAAGCTCATGCTCAAATAAATTGGTTAGTCTCTAAGGTGCCACAAGTACTCCTTTTCTTTTTGCAAATTTATCTGAGCATAAGCTTTCATGGGCTCACGAAAGCTTATGCTCAAATAAATTTGTTGGTCTCTAAGATGCCACAAGTACTCCTGTTCTTTTTGCGGATACAGACTAACACGGCTGCTACTCTGATACATATGAATGTGTATATATATTGATGGATAAACCGGGAGGACTGTAGAGCAAGTTTTGGTTTGCAGTTAAATACACTTTGGGCCAACTTATTTGTGCTGTTTGGATTCTGGCCACAATGGGCCAGCTGAGAAGTTCCCCAGTGGGGAAGCTCTCAGGTGGCCTATACTCAGTGAGGGTGGTCCAATGCCAACCACCCCACACACCCCAGTGAAGGGGGTATGCTGGGGGAAGGAGTGGGTGTGGTGGAGGTCTGCTCTGAGGGCTGGCTGGTCTACACTACCGCTTCAATCAGTGTAACTTACGTTGCTCAGGGGTGTGAAAAAGCCACCCCCCGAGTGACGTAAGTTACGTGAACCTAAGTGCTGTCCGCACCAGCACCATGTCAGTGGGTGATGCTCTCCTGCTGACATAGCTTCCACTCACGGAGGTGGAGTAATTATGCTGATGGGAGAGCGCTCTCCTGTCAGCATAGTGTGTCTTCACCAGATGTGCTAGAGCGGCAAATCTGCATCAGTGCAGCTGCAGGGATGTAGCGCCGTAGTGTAGATTTTCCCTCAGCGTCCTCAAGTATCATATGATTCCTTGGGGCTCCTATGACATTAGCATGAGTTAGAGCAAAAGGGGCAGGCAAACTTTTTGGCCTGAGGGCCACATCGGGTTTCTGAAATTGTATGGAGGGCTGGTTAGGGGAGGCTGTGCCTCCCCAAACAGCCAGGTGTGGCCCAGCCCCCGCCCCCTATCCGAACCCCACCCCCCTGCTTCTCACTCCCTGATGACCCCCCTGGGATTCCTGCTCCATCTAACCCACCCTGTGCCTTATCCCCTGACAGCCCCCATGGGACCCCCTGCCCCATCCACCCCTTCCTGTCCCCTGACTGCCCCCCGCTGCCCCACCCAACCCCTCCTCTCATTCCTGACTGCCCCCCTCGGACCCCAGCCCCATCTAACCATCCCTCCTCCCTGACTACCCCCCCTGCCCCATCCTACCCCCTCTCCTTCCTGACTCCCCACCCCGGGATCCCTGCCCCCCCATTCAACCCCCCTGTTCCCCACCCTCTGACCGCCCCAACCCCTACCCACCCTCCCACCCCCTGACCACCACCCCGAACTCCCCTGCCCTCTATCCAACCCCCGCTGCTCCCTGCCCCCTTACTGCACTACCTGGAGCACTGGTGGCTGGCCCAGAGCACCAGGACAGGCAACCATGCTGCCCGGCTGGAGCCAGCCATGCCACTACGCAGCACAGAGCACCGGGTCAGGCCGGGCTCTGCAGCTGCGCTGCCTGGTAAGAGCTCGCAGCCGCGCTGGCCAGACTCCGGTCCTGCCACGCCAGCCTTGGCCCCACCGGCCAGCCCCCGGCCCCGCCGTGCTGGCCGGCCCTGGCCGGGCCCCAGCCATGCCAGCCCCCGGTCCCAGCACGCCAGACCCCAGCCCCAGCCCCACTCTGCTGGCCAGCCAGCCAGCAGACCCCAGCCCCATGGCCGGCCAACCCCAGCCACCGCCTTGCCGGACAGAGCAACTCCAGCCCCTCTCCCTTTAATCGGTTAACCATTTAAATGATATAATTTTAATAATTTAAATAGTTAACTTTTTAAATGATATTTAAATCTCCATTTCAAACACAGTCTGGTCTTGTGGATTGAACAAGGGATTAGAAGCCAGGAACCCACAGGTTTTATTTCTAGCTCTGTCATCAACTTGTTGGTGGCCTTGGCAAATCACTTGTTTCCCCATTTGTGAAGCTGGATTAACATTTGTATAGTGCATATTCATAGGCCTGCCCACTGGGCTCATCACTGTAATATCACAGACACTACTGATTTATCCTACAGCATTTCTGTGAAGCAGGGAAACATTATCCCCATTTTATAGATGGGGCAAATCACACAGTAATTCTGTGGCAAAATTAGTGTTGGAGCTCAAATCTCCTGTGTTCCAGAGCATAAGTTTTCGTGAGCTACAGCTCACTTCATCGGATGCATCATAGGTGTGTGTACAATGTATATACTGTACACACACCTTCTGAACTTGCCTCTTGTCATGGGCAACAGCACACCCCCCCCGAATTCATCTGCTGTAGTGTACACACACACACTCTGAACTCACCTAGTTGTATGAACGTACATACACAACTCCTGCCCTTGTGCCTACACATTCACGCTCTCTGAACTCCCTTACACCCACACTTGTCTGTTCTCTGAATTCCCTGCCCTTGTGTGTGTACACGCACACCTCACCTGCTCCTGTGTGGAGACACGCACAGACACTCTGAACTCTCTGCCCTTGGGTGTACACTCCATCCCATACCCCCTTCTCTCTCGAACTTCCTGCCATTGGGTGTACATACGCACACACACTCTCTCCCGGAACTCACCTGTCCTAGGGTGTGTACGCACACACACTCCCCGGAATTCACCTGTCCTTGGGTGTGCACACACACACACTCTCCCGGAACTCACCTGTCCTAGGGTGTGTACGCACACACACTCCCCGGAATTCACCTGTCCTTGGGTGTGTACACACACACACTCCCCGGAATTCACCTGTCCTTGGGTGTGTACACACACACACTCCCCGGAATTCACCTGTCCTTGGGTGTGTACACACACACACTCTCCCGGAACTCACCTGTCCTTGGGTGTGTACACACACACCCTGCACTCCCTGCCCTTGGGTACACATACACACTCGATCTAAACTCACCTATCCTTGGGTGTGTGTAGACACACAGGTACACCCCCCCCGACCTCACCTGTCTTTGGGTGTGTACACACACACACTCCCCGGAATTCACCTGTCTTTGGGTGTGTACACACATACCCTGCACTCCCTGCCCTTGGGTACACATACACACTCGATCTCATCTCACCTGTCCTTGGGTGTGTGTAGACACACGGGTACACCCCCCCCCGACCTCACCTGTCTTTGGGTGTGTACACACACACACTCCCCGGAATTCACCTGTCTTTGGGTGTGTACACACATACCCTGCACTCCCTGCCCTTGGGTACACATACACACTCGATCTCATCTCACCTGTCCTTGGGTGTGTGTAGACACACGGGTACACCCCCCCCCTCTGACCTCACCTGTCTTTGGGTGTGTACACACACACACTCCCCGGAATTCACCTGTCTTTGGGTGTGTACACACATACCCTGCACTCCCTGCCCTTGGGTACACATAGACACTCGATCTCAACTCACCTGTCCTTGGGTGTGTGTAGACACACGGGTACACCCCCCCCCGACCTCACCTGTCTTTGGGTGTGTACACACACTCTGAATTTACCCGTCCTCGGGTGTGTACACACCCACCGGCTCCCCCGGAGCAGCCCCCCCCCCGCGTTGGCAATGGGGCTGGCACCTGCCGGGCGGGCCGGCCCCGGGGAAGCGCCGCGGGGCGGGGGAGCGGGGCCGCAGCCCCAGCGCGCCCCAGCTGTTCAGCCCGCGCCGCTCCAGAGGTGGCACATCTGGCCGGCCCACGTGACCCTTGGTCCCTTAGCGACTTGTATGAACAGACAGCTGTCACCATAACAACGGGAGGGGGCGGCGGGGGGGGGGCGGGAGGGAGGCTGCGGCCCCCGCGGGGAGCAGGCAGGGGCTCGCCGGGGGCGCAGGAGGAGAGGCTGGGGCTGCGGCTCCGGCGCCGGGCGGGGCGGGGGGAAAGGGGGGCCAGGCCTGCGGAAGCCAGGTGCGACCTGTGGGGCGAAGCGGGGGCGGGGGAGAGAAGCAGAGGCGCAAAGAGAGAGAAGCAGGGGAGGACTCGGAGGCTGAGCCGTAAAGGGCGGGGGGGGGGGTTAGAACCAGAGTCTCCTCAGGAAGATCAGAGCCCCCCCCACCCCCCCCCACCCCGCCCCATTGGAGCCAAGCAGGCAGCCGCTCCCTCCTCCGACACCCCCCCCCCCCGCAGCCCCGGGAACCAAGTAATCCCCATCGATGAGGAGGAGGAGGAGGAAGAGAAGACAAAAGGGGATTTCAGCTCTAAAGTGACAGCAAGGGAAAGGAGACGCCGCAGCCCAGGGAGAGAGAAGCTGAGGCAGAGCAGAGCGGCAGGTCCCCCGCAGGCACCCACCCGGCGGCAGGGCCCCAGGAAGGGGGAACCCGCCACGCACACACGCCCTCCAGCTGTTGGCTTGCTCTCTTCTGCCTTTGATGCCATGGGTAACAGCTTCTCCAGCATCCCTGCACTGCCCAGAGGCAACCAGAGCAGATTCCACAGGGTCCACCTGAAAGGTAGGGGTACCCCATCCTGCGTGACTGCGCCTAGGGAGGGGGCTATCTGTGGGGGCTGGCTGTGGAGCAAGAGGTTGCGTTGATTGTTAGTTTCTGTGCTACTGGTCTTTAAGCCCCCTTCCTCTTTCTTTAGTGAGTCTCACATTATGTCTTAGAGAGGCTCAGGGGGTAGGATCCCTCCCCCGCCTTGCCTGTCTCAGTGTGCACCTATTTGACAAACTCTCCCCCAGGGCATTAGTCCAGGAAGCCCAAGTGGGGTGGGGAGGGACACTTGTAGCTGAGACCATCTGGGTGCCAATGAACTTCCCAGAAGGTTAGACACTCAAGGCAATCAGCTTTCTCACCCCAATGACTAAAGGCATATCATTGATACGGCAACAATTCAGGCCCAATTTGCCATTTATATCACCATGCCCCTCCACACCTTCCCTTCATTCAGACAGGTATGGCCTTGTCGATGTCTTTTAATTCTCTATAGTGGGAATAATGATGAAGGATGGCTTAAAGAAAGTGAGGGGCAGCATGTTCGAGACACATGCTGTCTTTGTGGTTACCCAAGAAATGTAATGGGGGGGGGGATGGACCATCACCCCATTTTGGAGAACCAAAGGATATCTGGGGCTTCTATTCCAGTTTGAGCCAGGATTATTCTTCTTCCTCAGCCCCCACCATCATGTTAAAATCTCATTTCTGAGCTACATTTGTGTGCTCCCAGGGCCATATCCAATGGGATGACTTGCATGAGTAAGGTGGTCAGGACTGGGGGTCAGTGGCATTAATTCTTTTCTATCTTTCCCCTCATGCTACCCCCTCAGAGCGCATAAGTCAGGGCAGAATCATGAATTGGCCCCTGAGTGTCCATATTTTCATATCCCAAGGCACTGAATGAAGTCAAGGGAGTATGTCAGAGACCCACCCATACAGAATGGATGCTGGAAGAAGGATGCGATTTCCATAGCCATTCTCTTAATCATTAAAACTTGTTGCTGCTTCCCCTCAGGCAATGTGCTGAAGAATTTGCTTTCAGTCTGTAAAATGGGGAAACTAGTGTTCACCCACTGTTCTACTGAGCTTTGAGCTCCACAGTTGAAAGGTGCTGTGGATTAATGATGATGATCATTATAGTTATTAAATAGGAGGATTTTCTGATACCTCCGTGAGAACTTAGATTCTTCCCCCACCCCCCAGTGGATAATTTGGAACAGTTGTTGCAGGAACTGAGGGCTATTGTCAAGGCTTTTTAAATGGGTTTGCTAGAAGATGTCCAAGAATGTTTACAGTCCTATGATGGACTGATGAGTCGATCAGAAATTCAGTGCAGACAATTGCTGTATTTAAAATGAGACTGGCAAGGAGAGGCCATTGAATCCGAAAGAATGACCAGTCATCCCCTACCAAGGCAAACATGAAAGCACCCACAATGCTGTAGTAGTTGATATGCAATTGTAAACTGCCAGGAAAGGTTTATCTTTAAGAGTAATGTGGTCAGCTGGAAATCTTTCTAGAGCAACCTTAAGCAGATAAGAATTTGTAAACTGTAGCCAGAAGGGACACTTGCCTTCTAATCCGTTATCATTAGCTTATCTGAGATTTCCAAGATGCTATTTATAAATCACTTGATTTGTTTCTTTCATGGCATGTTTTTAGTTATTTATTTATTTTATTTATTTATTTTCCATTTTAATTGGGTTGCCATCCACGCCAATGCAACAAGCAAAATTGTTCGCACTTTGTAATGTAACAGAGCAGTTAAAATCATTTTGATTTGAATAAAGAGTTAACAAGGCATTGCCATTGTTGTAAAAACCAAGCAACTGCCAGGGACAATATGTGCTTTTTTCTGTCTTTTCTGAAACAAGACAGCCTCAGGTCCTACATTTATATGCAGAATAAACAAGTCTGATCAGATCTGACAGGTTGCTGTAAAATGGTTTGGAGGCATAGCAGCAAAAAGTATGAATGTCACACTGTTTTGTTACATATCTGCTATTTAATGTTTTGGGAAACTTATTTTAATTGAAGGTACACTTCTCCCGCCCCTTCCCCCTCCACCCCCAACACTGGACTGAACATTTGAGTTTGTGAGGGACAGAAAGAGATAGCTGCTTTGGAAACCACATAGAGCTTTCAGCCACCAAATCAGCACAAAGCAGAGACAACTATATGACTGTAATGAGCTGTGCATAGTGGTTAAGAGATCTGAAGTTAGAGTTTTGAGGCCTTAAAGGTTCTGTTGTGCTTTGTAAAGATGGCATCTCCATACTCAGCGGATCTGCTCTCCACATGTGCTCAGAGTCAGATCTCCTGACTGAAGTAGTCAAAACTGACCTTTGTCTCTCTTTACTCCCATTAGCCCTCCAAACCCAACACGGCTATGAGAGAATGAGCCCTATTCTATTATTTTTTGTGGATCACCCACAGAATTGTTTGCTAAGTTTCTGGGCAGTTTCTGAGCAAACCTACTGAAGACCGACCATGAGGTTCTACAGCTGTCATTGCGGGCTGCCCTGATGTCCCTGAGGCCTGATTTGGCCAGCAGAACCTTTGCTATTGGTGATGGTGCACAATAAGGAAAAAACTCAGCTTGAGTCTCAGATGTCAGGTTTAATTTACAGTCCAGGGCAGCTAGAATAATCATCCCTTTACTTGCAAACTGAGTGCATTTGATGTGGTGCGTTTGTCAGACTGTGCCTGCAGCCCGGTCACTTTTCAGAGCAGAACCACACTTTAAAACCGCACCTGTCCTTCCCCGTCCCTGCCGCCCCAAGAGCTGATTGTTATTCTATGGAAACCACTCTGCAAGTGTCTCTGCTTTGGAATTATGGATGCCAGGACTGTGCATCACACCAGGAGTATATTTTATTATTATTGATTAACATTTATGTCTCAGTATTGCCTAGAGACCTCAGCCAGACAGAGCCCCATTATATCAGGCGCTGAATGAATACGCATGCGAAAACATGATGGTCCCCACCCCAAAGAGCTTACAATCTATAAACCATAAACTGAGACCAGACAGTTCATTTTAGTTACATTCTCAACTTGAATTTCAATTGAACTCCCTCCTCTTCCATGTAAACTAGTGCCCTCTTCTGCATTCATAATATCACTCCTAAAATAGTTGGCAGCAGTGAGTAGGCATGTTTATAGAATCTTTCAAAGTGGGAGATGTGGTCTAGTGATTAAAGCACAGGCCTGGAGTCAGGAAACTTGCATTCTGTTCCCATCTCTGCCACTGACTGGCTGAGTGACATTGAGCAAGTCACTTCATCTCTCTGTGGTATGTTTGGTCTGCTTCCTCCATCTGTAAAATAATGATAATCATGCCTGCCTCTTGGGGATGTTATGTGGCTTAATTCATTTATGTTTATCAAAGCGTTTGAGAGCATCAGGTGGAAGATGCTTTAGAAGCTCAAGGAATTATATTAGATCAGCCATAGATCTTAAAATGGGCTCTTACCTCTATGCTTGAGTCACTTTTCTTTTTCCCTTCCCTTTCCTGTGGATAATGATATGAACCTGTAAGGTACTGAGCACTTCCTTTTGAGTCAGTGGAAGATGAGGGCATCCAGAACCTGACCAGATCACCTTGCCTTGGATGTTGAGATCCCAAAACCACAGACAGTGATAGGAGGACCATTTTCTTTTGGGCGTGGGGTGGAGGAAAGCTAGAAGAGGGCTCAACTGCAGCATCCCAGCATGCTTTCCACTTGTAACCCAGCAGTGGTCCATACTCTGAGGACTTCCAAGGTGAGATAATATTGCCAGTGTGCTTCCCTAATGGAGGGCAAAGGATTATGCTCATCTGGTGACAATTTGTACTTGACACGGCCAGAAGAACAACAAGAAGCTATTACTGTCCATGAGAGTCATTCTTTGCTAGTCTCTCGTATGGTTGCTGTTAACTAACAAACCAGGTGTGTGTGGCTGTTTGAAAGAAAGCCGAGAGGAGAAACTCAAGCCATATCTACTCTCATAGTTTCTGCAGATGAAACAGACCTCTTAGACAGCCGATCCATTCTTGTGCCTAATGTATGTTTATTAGTATTAGGGCCAGATTAACTTGAAATGTGCCAAAAGATAGGCCTCCACTACTTCTTGGAGGCATTTATTCCACAATCTAATACATCTCATTGGCTGCAACTTTTGCCTGATGTTCGTATTCAGTTTTCTCTTAATTTCATGCCCTTATTCCTAGTCATCACCTCCACCCCCTTCCCCATTGCTTTCCCTCCTCGCTGTTTGCACTTTTCAAATATCTGTAGACAGTTATCACATCCCTTAATTAGTTGCTTAGCCAGGCTAGACATTGAACTCTTTCTCCTCTCATTTGCAGGCTGTGCATCTTGTTGATTAGAGCTACTGTTTAGTGCCTAGATCCAAGATGGCATTAAATCCTTTTTGTCGGACAGCCTTGGCCAGCAGTTAGGGTAATGGACTATGACTCAAGGGACCTGGGTTTTATTCCTTTCTCTGCCATAGGCTCCTTGAGTGACCTTGGGCAAGTCACTTTCTCACACTATGCCTCAGTGTTCCCATCTGTAAAATGAGGCTTCTAGTGCTAAGCCACCTTTGTGGAGAGCTTTGAGATCTACAGATCAATAGCACTCTATAAATACTAAGTAGCATTCCTGTACCTCGTCATAAATCTGTTCCTCCAGTCACTGAGTCAGTTTTGCTGCTCTTCTCTGAACTCCTGACATGAGGATGGTTAGTGAGGGCTGGCACAATTTTTTGTTGTAGGTAACTGAACCTCCAGTAAGATGCATCAACTGTCTTATTGGGACATACCAATCATCCTGGTCATTTAGTATCCTGTTTCCAGCAGTGTCTAATTCCAGATGATTATTATTTATATTGCAGCAGCATCCGGAGGCACCAATCAGTATCGGAGCCCCATTGTGCTAGGTGCTATACATACATAAAGTGTTAAAGATGTTCCCTGCCCCAAAGAGCTTAAGGTTGATATTTAGGCTATGTCTACACTACAGCTTATGTTG